ATATATATATATTTCTACTTGTTGCAAAGGTAGACTATTATCCAATGCTACATTACCGCTCTGATCTAACATAATTTTTATTTTTTATATTTAATCTACAGATATATATATATATATATATATATATTAAAAGCACCCGGATTCCTGCCTGTCAATCTCAATTCAAAGATGGAAAATTTACATCTCCTAAATTAGGTGACTTTGCTGGGTCTATTGTGCACAATGACATCATAAGTTGATATGTTATGAACTCCATAAAAAAGTATTCAAGGTGTATTCCATATCAGCCACAAGAAAATGTATACTTTGAGGTATAATGGTTTACACAATTTGATTCTGATTCCCTCAAAATTATATTGGACTGACCACAATACATTAAAAATTAAAATTAAATTAGAACCTTTGCTTTTGTATGACGGTAATTATGAAAAAGAAATATTTCATGAATAAAACCTGTGAGGTTTATTTTACAGAGCTGAAATGACGTGTAGTTAGTTAGTTTGACTATGTGTTGTTAGATGGTTGGCTACATAGCTCAATTAATCATGAAAGTTGCATCAGATATCAAATAATAAAAATATTGACTTATGGTTATGAAAGTGACTTGGTGGAGGTTAAAATATCATTCAATAAATGTTACTCAGTAACTTGGTATTGAATTATATATATATATATATATATATCCTTATTTCAATTTTGGTATAATTGTGGTCAAGCTTTTCAAACATGTTACACTAGTAACTAATATTTTACATATAGTATTCAATTGTTGTAGCCTATAACACTTGTTCAAATATGCTACACTAGTAAGTTTATTGATACCAAATGAATGATTGTTAATGTTGAAACAATTTTCAATGAAGTAAATCAATCAACTCAACATCATTTATGTAGTTTTAATTGCATGTATGGGAGTAAGACACCAAGTAAAGTGACATGTATGTATAGATCATTTTGAGTGTTATATTACATACTTATGAAATTCAAGAAAAATATTACAAATCTTCATTCCATCTTACTCTTTTCTGCATAATTATATTTTATTAATCAAGATTTCATTATTTTTCCAGTATCACACATCTCAAATAACAATATTAAGAATAATAAATGCAAAATCTCATGATATTAAGCCAAACCCAAAACACATTTTCATAGTTTGAGAATATTCCACAATATTTTTAATTTTTCAAATTTTTTTTTAACAACCTTAAAAATTCCTTAAAAGAATGAATACACTAACAAATTAAACTGCAAATGAAATCATGCTAATTATTTGAACTAGGTGTAATATCTAATTACTTTAAAACACCCCCTGAACACTCTTTCATGGCTCATCTTTGCAATAAAATTCTATGACTGCAGGATCATTTACATGTGGGCCTATTTATATATAATCACACAAACACACACACCCACTATTGATATATCCATATTATATCTATTAATAAGAGAAATCCATGCCTCCATCTGTTCACAAGCACATGTTCTGGACCCCGCCATCTCACACGCACACACACACTAACAACAACATTCGACAATGCTCCATCACTACTACTGCTGCTGCCCTACTGTTGTGACTTCTAATATTACAGAGAGACTGGCACAGACTCAGAGTGTGGGGCTCAAATCCCAAGGAAGAATGTGATGGGCATCAACCCTAATTTGGTAAGCTATGGACTAGGGCTACAATGACCCCCCATGTGCACCTAACCATGCGGCATGTGGGCTCTTTCTCCAATCTCCCCACCCCCTTCCCCTCGTCCTCACCCACATGCCTCCACTTCCACATCCCCACCTTGCTCCCAATTGTCTTAAACACTACCACACTAATGAAATAGAATATAAACACAAGAACATGTTATTAGAATGGATCTCAAGCTTTGGTGCCGTGTTGAGCATGGCTTGACACCTTGTCCCTCTTCCCTCATATAAAAAAGAAATATTGAAGAAGTTCATTTGTGTATGGTACTCTTCGGCAAAGATTGAAAGTTGTTGTGCATGGAGGTTTGACCATTGAAATGTAATTTTAACTCATAACCATACATTCTCTTGGCAATCCTCATTATCTATATTTTTTTTGTTTTTTGTTTTTTATAATTTTTTGAAAATCTTACTTAGTTTTACCTTATTTATTCATTTATTTTGGAAAGGGGTACTTGTTGCACATCATGCAATGTTAAAAAAATAAGAAATTACATCCATCATCTGAGATCACTTGCTTTACTTCGAATGCTTTGGAGGCACATAGTACATATATGGCAATTGTTGGCTAGAAATTTGAGGATGAAAGCATTAAGAAATCATAAATACATGATGCAAAATACATGATTTTGTATAGTGTGCTACTTTACAAAGGTTGTGTTTATATATAAATATAGGGATTTGATTTTTCTACTCAACATCATATTGCACCCACTACACCACTATTATTGTTTTGGTTTTGTGACTTATTGCATTTTAGCACCAGCTTTAGTTGGGCATTTTGGAAGAAAAAGAAAAAAATTATGATAAAGACTAAGGGCCTTGTCATTCGAAAACTGATTAAAACAAAATTACATTTGAATAAGTTAAAAATCCAGAACAACAATAATGGTGTGGTGGGTGCAACTCAATGTTGAGTAGACAAAATGAATTTGTGGACAGAAACATCAATCTTAAAAATACAATGCATCTGTAATATTATAAAGTTTTATGAATACTGAGGTCCACGTTTATAGTAGTTATACATTCTTTAAAAACTATTATTTAGTTTGGTTTCGAAAACATTAGCATATGTTGATTGAATTGTGCAAATCTATTAGGATATTCTTGAAAATATTTATTAGTCATTCAATACATTGTATATGTATATATATATATATATATATATAGTTAAATTTTAATGTGGTGGTTTTTTAAAATTTAGATCGTAGGTAATACTTTGGTGTATATGTATGTATATATACATGTTTTTTATGCATTTGTAATTTAGATCTACCATATATATATATATATGGTAGATCTAAATTACAAATGCATAAAAAATACTTTCAAATAATATTTATGTTTTTTATACAAAACATATCATTGAAATGTATTTTATTTATTTTATTCATTCTCCAATTCTTATACCTTTAACATAATTTCTCATACAAAACTAAGAGTATGGTATTTATTTAATATATTTTTTCTATTTTAATAAAATTAATAACGTATTTGAATAATTCTTATACCTTTAACATAATTCTAAAATATATACTTATGAGAATACATATGTACATATATATATATATATATATATATATATACTCACAAATATACATAGAAAAATATGCATTAATATTAGTAAAAATATATTATTACAATATTTTTTGAATATATATAGGGTATTATTAATGCAACCATAATTTTTTCTATTGCCAATACAATCCATCATCCACCACATGCCTCCCATATCTATTGTCAATGCTATATATATATATATATATATATATATATAAATTTTGGTATTTTAAAAATAATAATAAGTTTTTTATTTTATTATAAATTATATTTAAGTTATTTTTTCAGAAAATTTAAATTATTTTCTACATAACTTGTATATATACAAAATATTTTTTCAAGAAGAAAATTTCATTTAAGAAATATGTTGATTAGATGGCTGGTTGTGGTAGCCATAACAAAAACTAAAAGTATAGTGGCATAAGCTATATATTAAGAATGTATTTTTTTTTATTTATTCTTTAACAAAAATATTAATACTGTTGGTAATAATTCACATGTAAATTTACTATGTTTAATTTTAAATGATAGGAATAATTGTATTCAAACTAAAATATTTTCAAAAATAGAAATAGAAACCAAATTATAAATTTTTTTCTTCTTTTATTATGATCTTTCTTAGAATATGGTTTAGAATATATTGTAGTAGCATTTTAGTATTCAATTCTAAGAAACATTTAAGAAAAAAAAAATGTTTTAGAAGGTGTGATGGTCAAAATTCAACAAAATTAATATCATTTATCAATATTATAATATCTCAAAAAAATTCAAAGAATTTTATTATAATAAGTTATTTTTTCATTGAGTAAAAATATGAATAATGTCATCATTAAAATTAGTGTAAATACAAGATTATAATTTTTTGTTTTTCTTAATCTGTAAAATGATTTTTAATTAATTATATTCTAAAAACTTCATATATATATATATATATATATATATATATGTATAATGGTAGTTAAATAGAAGTTAAAGTGAATTGTATAATTTATCATGGATAAGACCTCTGTTAAAAAACTATATTTCTCTAAAATCTGAAATCTTAGTTTCAATCCTGATTTTTATTAGTTTGAATAATCTATTATGAAACAATTGTTTGTAGTAATTTATTTTATATAAATTTGAATATCTAAATTTAAATTGTATCGAGTTACATATCCAGTAATAAAACAAAAATGCTGATTTTCAAATTAGGACATTCTTCAACATAAAGCCATCATATTAGATTTTTCTAAAACTTATTCTGAATGTTATGTTACTAGGCTCTTAAACAGATTTTCAATCCATTCTTAATTTGTTTACAATTTTCGAACAAAAAACAATACAATCATAACGTTGTTTAAAATTAAGTAGCTTGAAAGATTTGCAAAAACAGAAGGTCATGGATTCAATCCAAAACCAAAATAAATTTTGAAAAGTGTAATTTATGGGACACCTATTAATTTACACTACTTGCTATTCCAACTATGCTTGATTTTCTTAGGGATGACTTTGGAATAAAGTTTAAAAAGAAGATGATTTCATGACTACGTATTCATGGTATGCAACAAGGAAATTATTTCTATCCGTGACACAAACCAATGAAACGGTTTTTCACAAGTATAAACAGTGATGAACCATACTAAATTCATTATCTCATAATGAATCACTTGCACGTCGAATGTCATATAAATCGCATGTTACAACTGTAGTCAGCTCACATTTAAAACAATAATCCAGTGAGTGAAAGTCCATCTAACTAACTTTTAATACTGTAGTCCACAGTCATTTGTTCAATGAATTGCAATAATCATACGTCAACTTACACACTATTAATGTACGTTGGTGTCTAAAAAATCTTGATCAGAGTTTTTGTTTCATCAACGATATTTTATAATATGTTGAATCGCTTAAGAATAAGAAACCGCGATTCTGGAGACAAACTTGGGTAACTACCAATTGACATATTGACATGATGTTACATAATGTGCGTAAAATAGTGAAGTAATTTATTGAACAAAGGTAAGTTCTAATATAAATTGCTAACTGGTCACTTGACAACTGGCCGGATCTATTCCGATTTCGAACAGATTCAAACATCCAAACGGGGATCCGATGAGATGATTGAACGTAGAATGTGAGTCACTTCGGTGGCGGCCTCACATGCATCATGCCGATGCTAGGTCCGACCCCCAATAGGCTTTGGGTTGTACCATAATTACTTAGGGTCCAGTGTGGAGTCCTGTTGTGGAGGGATTATTTAATCCTGTTGAACCATAACATCTTGTACTGATCCCAACTGTAATGAAATATTATTTCATTTTTGCCAAAAAAATGAAGGTAAAAAGAGTGAGTTTCTGCGCTGGCTATATTTACAACCCAATCATGCAAATATCATGTTTTTGGACTTCACAATCATGTTAAACTGCCACAATTGACTTACGAGACGGTAGAAATGTGAGTGTCTGGAGGTGCAGCATGCACGAGTGGTGGCGCTTGTGAAGTGGGCGTATAGTGAACATGCTTTAAATCAGATCAACAACAATCACCCACCCTCCACATTCGGTCGCATCAAAGCTGCTTGCGAACCTGGTCATTGACCTGTTGCTGTTCATTTGGAGTGCGCAGGTGAGAAACGGTGATGCACGGCTGCACGCCGCCGACCCAGCTTCAAAGTGAGAGATCTGGAAAGAATATCTTGTCGACGGTTAAGCGGAAGCTGACTATCGTTCATTTATAGGCAAAGTGAGGCCCATGGCGCAGGCATTGGTGGAGGAAAATTACCTAGCAAGAGATGAAAACGAGAGAAGGAGAGCGAGATTAGCCGCTGACAGGTTCCGTCGTGGAAGCCATCCGTGTATTCTGCGGTCGCATTCGCGTAACGCCAGCGTTTTCGCCTTTCACCGCCCTGCTGACACCACACATGGAACTCCACGTCTTTCTCTTAGATGGTCACATGACTTATTTTGCGGCCAGTAACTGGGAAGTCTGCTCTTTCCTTGCTCTGCAGATTAGCTAAGCTCAGGTGGTAATCGAAAGCAGAGTGTCCCCGAAAACACTGTATGTATATTCCTCGAGGGGTGTAGAGCAAACTTACAACCAGCGACTGCTAAAGGCGATCAGATGAGACAGGACAGTGTCATTACTCAGCTTCATTCAGTACGCATGCTAGGGGCGCAGGCAATCAATCTTACGACAATTACGTGTCGCAGAAAGAATTGTTTATATCATGTCCTTTACCTTTGGAGCAAACTCTGGAGAGCTCCTGCCGCCGATGAAGTTGGCAAATCTAATATACAAATAGACGGCGGTCATCGTTACAGAATTGCTACTAGAGATCAGCACCGAATTTGACCGACAATGACGTTGCCCCAGAATGGCCACTACAACAGAAGAATTTGAGTACACAAATAATGGAAGACAGATTGGTTGGAGTCCAAGAGTGCAATCTATTCCTGCTCTTCAGTAGCTCCTTCCCTGAGAAGATTCAGCTTCTGAGGGATGAAGCTAGTGAGAGGCAGGAAGAGGCCGCAGAGATGTTACCCTCACAAAGGTCGACAAGTGCAGTAATTGCAGTCAGCAGTCTGACCCATGCAATGCTGCTCGTTGTGAGAGGTGGGCAACGGTAAGATATTTTCACAGAAACATGCGTGGGACTACGTGCGCGCTATTCCTGTCTACCAATAGCTCCTTACCTCCCAGACTGCGACTCAGGCAGGGAGGGAAGAAGCTAGTGAGAGGCAGGAAAAGACTCACGGTGCTCCGCACACGCCTCTTCGTCACATACTACACAGGCACCGCACAGGGCATGACCTCTCAAACAAAAGACAACAAATAAATAAATAAAATGCAGTATTGTTGCGCTCAATCTGGATTGAGAAACAACAGCAATCCAAAAAAGGGGGAGGAATGGAAGACTGAAGAATAGTGCACTGTTGCATGTTTCGAGCTGAAGTGTGAGTAGCCCTCATGAAGGATAATTGTTCAGAGATACTGAAAAGAAATATAGGGCATGCACGTAGTGATAGTACTACCTTGAGACTTGAAGACACCGTCACAAGAGACCTCCACAGGCCTCACATACTAATTGACATTAGATTTAATGTAAAAAACTGATTTACGTCGGAGGCACATCACTGACTTCAGCGATTTCAACAAGACATAATTCCATAGTTATAAAACAGCCTCACTCCACTCATACATGGCAACAATCAGTACGACAGCGTCGAGTACAAGAATGAATCAGTCAGGGATAACCCAAGCAAACTGGGTAAAACAAAAAACAAAAACAAAATAAAATAAAAAAAACAAAAAACAAAAAACAAAATTGAACATTGAGGAGAGAAAGAAATCTGCAACAAGCGTCGACCGCGAGGCCAAGCATCGCGCCTTCAATTTCCCTCACTGGCCTCTAACCCAAGAGGGCTTGCAGATGATCGCACGCGTGGCGCCACTATCCATATCCAGCAGACCCAGAACCAGACCCGATCATGGAGATCCGCCAAAAAGGCTCAAATTCAGAACGACCACAACATAGGTCACATAAAACACTCCACACTCGCCTTGCTCTACTCAACAGCCTAGCTCACCAACGACGCGAGCATCGAAGCACGCCGAGGGCAGTGCCAACGCCGGCCACGACGTTTGCGGATTCACCATGGGAGTGAATACAGAAAACTGAGACGTGAGGAGGCAAAACAAGGGGCAACAATACAGAGGTGAATGGAAAAGGGGAGGGAGTCGCCAGAGGAGGTGGTGGGGAGGGCCGGGGGTGACGACGATGACGACTTCGACGACGCTGACGCTGACGATGAGTCGCGGGCGCGAGGGAACGCGGGAGGGAGCTCGCGGTAAGTATGGCGCTGCGAGGTGGATACCGCGACGACTTTATAGCCAGCCACGCGCGAGCTGGGCTGGGCTGGGCTGGGCCGCAGCCACCGTGGCGCCCGTGGCGCGTCGCCTGCGGGGTCTGAGCTCGCGCTGCACATGGCTCGCCTCCCCCGGACCCTCCTGCCCTTAGCACAAGCTCCAGCCCCAGTGCCTCCCCCCCCCCCTGCCTTGCCTCTGGCACTGTTTCTTTCACTCCTCATCTAGCTCTCACCCACATCACACAATGTTGCTTGGGTGCAACATCATCAATGAGAATGAGGAAAATAGTAAACATACTATTTTAACAACCAAAATAATACAGTACTATTTAGCTTTTGTTGGAGGATACTTAATTGTGATAAAACTATTTCAAATAATTAAAAAAAACTAGTTCTCTGTACTATTGTTCATTTTTAGTTTTGTTTTGGCTTTAATTGGGCATGATTTTTGTGGGACCTTTTTGGTGCTAATATTGTGGATGGCTATGGTGAACTCTGGGTTGTCAAATTCTCAATCGTCAAATATATACATATATATATATATATATACACACACATACACACTCATTTATTTAAACAAGTTTTGTATGCCATAGTTGTAATTTTTTGGTCTTGTACACATGACACCATGTACAATACCTGCCTTTGGAATATGTTCATTAGTATTGTTTGTTTATTCATGATTCACCATCATTCATATGATGACATACATTACATAACAATTGTTTGAAATCATGTTCCATGTAAGATTGAGAATGGCCACCATCTCAAGTATATTTAGCAGAAAATTACATTATTCTAAGGAAATTTGACTACAATGCCACAAAAAAATATTAAAAAATATATGAGGAATAAAGAGTGAAAAAATAGTTAAATAATTTCCATAATAATGAAACACATGCATTTTATAGTAAAATATGGTAGATACAAAAAGCAACTAAAGCCATAATATTTTGGATGATGATGATGATGCTGGTTGTGCATACATCTTTATTTCTTCATTGGAAATTAAATGGAAATATGTGTAATTGCTCCATGTATTTTAATTGTAATGTTGTTTTCTTTTTGCACTCAAAATCTCAAAAAAGCATATCCAAGCCATTCATGCCTATGTTACATGAAATCAAATAGCACAGAAATCAAGGTTCTCTTTTAAATAATACAATCAATATTTATATTTCTTAAACAACACATTTGACACATCATTGTTCAACATTTTCCTTTACAACTTCTCAAAGGACATCTATACAAATAGTCAAAATCAATATCTATACATGTATGCATATGCATGTAAATATGGAACAAGTTTTCCTTTAAATTTTTATTTTTGAGAAGGATGCCAACCCCACATGTGCACAATCCCACATGGAACCATTTTCAGCACCTGGGTGACAGAAAAAAACCCCTTCACTAAGAGTATCCTGGGCAGAGCAGTTTATTTATTTATTTGTTGTTATTATTATTTTCAAAATTTCTGAGGCTGCCCAACCCATGTTCACTCACTACACAAACTTCACATGTCAGAGCTGGGCAAAGGGGTACAAAGGGCTAGCAGCACAAGGAAAACAGGTGCATACTTGGCAAGTTCCCCTTGTGGAAACATGGTTCAAAGCTAGGGGCACACACACAATAGAACTAACTCATCACTGGTTGCCATTGACAGCAATTGGCACATATGTAAGCACCCTTCAACCCTATTAGTTGACTGCCACCACATCTATTGCTATAGAATGGTGCCCTTTGTACAACTGTTTAGAAAACCAAACTAGTGAATTTGTAGAGCTATAAGGACCCTCTCCACACAAACCAGAAAATAATAATAATAATAATAATAATAATACTAAAGAGTATTCTTGGTCATGAGATTGATTTCAAGTATGAAGCATGACATCAATGATTCTGCTTTCTATTGATAGGGGATTCATAATTGAGGAAAAGTCATGTTAGTCTTGAAATTGATCCTCAAGCATTTAAGGCAAATTTTGGATAATTTCTTCATTATTTTATTATTATTTTTTATTTACCGATTTTCTTTTATATTTAGTTAAAGAGTGATGAGATCGTATGATGCCTTCCTTTCAACATTTAGGTAATATTCTTGCCCCATCAACAATTAGATAATATTCTGATTATTCTAACTGTCAGGAAGCCTTTTGTCACATGCAATGGATGCTTGGCCTTGATTAAGTTCTCAATGGCACATAAACTGAACATCATCCATACAAGACTTCTTATTTTAATCTACATGACCAAACTCCATTTTTGATGTCCTGATTTTTTCAACCTAAGTAATTTTTTTTAACATGTAATAGACTTTTAACATGTAATATGACTACCTCCAGTTGCATCCAATTTTGATCAACAAATTTGATAAGTGAAGTATTTTCACTTTACAGCAACAACAACAACAATAAGAAGAGACATTGTGAAGGATGAATTACAATGGTGTATAATATAGAAACCCAACTTCAAAACTTGGACATGTAAATACATGTAACCCCTTTCATCCTTCCTTAAATTTATTCACTGATTGAGGGCTATTCAAATAGATAAATGGATAAGAGTTGTCAAGCAGCACTGCATTAAAGCCCCCACCATTCCCAATGCTCAAAGAGAGAGAGAGGGAGACTATGTTATGTGAGTGTTCCCAAAGCAATAAGCATCCATGCTTGAGGGTACAGTCTGCATCACACTATCAAGCTGTCTAATCTGCCCAAACTGATTAGAACTTACATGCCTCTAGAATTGGAACATGGGGCACAGCATCCTGTGTGTGTGTGTATATATATATACATCAAATTAATAATCTGGCTGTTTCAATGAGTATCTCACTGCTGTGTCATTGAATGAAAGTCACTATTTCTACTTTGGAAATTATCCTGCAATTTGTTTTGTTTTGATTTTTCACCAACCAGTTTCTCTTCTTTGTGGTTTGGCTCTTCTGGAAGTGAATGGTCCCAATCTACTCTACTCAAACTTCAAGGTTTTTCACATGGGGGCACAAGAGCATGATTATCACCTTGTTGTACCGCATCCCTGTATACATATGTACACATGATTTATTTTACAAAAACTCTAAATATCATCTTTTATTCAAACCTCTAAATATGACAACTAATGTCAAGAAAGAGCTAACTTGTTCATAGAATTTCAGATAACACATGAATTTAACATCTACATCAAACCATGAAACAGTAATTTCACACTTCTTGTGTAAATAAAATTGAAATTTATTAGACATTTCTTATATCTTTACTACTTTTTACACTATATATATATATATATATATATATATGAATACTTTGTTGCAAATACCACCACTATTTGCTAAGAATCACATCTTACTATCCATCATGACGTGCCATTCATCATGTGTCATCATAGTTTTAGCTAATTCCACCACAAACCATTCCAAGCTTGTGTTGCACACCATGCTGCATTTTATGAAATACCAAAATATATATATATACAAAGAATATACAATATATCCATTGTGATGTGCATTAGTAATGTTTCCATAAAAGTACATTGTGGTATGTAGCACGAGTTTAGAAAAACTTGTGATGGAATTAGCAAAAACTATGGTGAGAAGTTGTGATAGTAATAGCCAAAACTCTTGTGGCAGTAACAAAACCCTCTATATGCATACATGAATGCAGATGACTTTGTCTACAACAAACCTCTCTCTACATACAGTTACCTTGTCTATACAGATTTGCTTATGACAAATCTGTATAGATACATACTTGACTCTATTTGTGATTGTTGCTAGAGAGAGGGGAAAAAAGAAAAAAGCCACCACCACCACCAAACATACCACACAGTATGTGAAGGTGCTGCCATTGAGCTATGTTCCACAGAGTAAATCTTGCCCATGTGTTTCAGTATCTCATAAACAATATATGTACCATCTCTGCCAAAGAATAATGTGTTGACCATGATTCAGTATTTGAATAAACAATTGAAATGCATGCACACATTTAGCCCCCCAGTGATTGAATTTGCAGGGCTGGGCAAGTGAATGACCAGAGACCAAGGCTACAGAAAAACACAAGGGGAATGGGAATGAAGCAGAGTGGTGACATGGTAGGGAATGGCTGCCAGTGAAGGAACTAGCTCAGAGGAGAAGGGTAGGGTGGGGGGCTCAAATGATAAATCACAACAGTCCTGGTGGAGTATGTGATTATGTCCCTGTAAGGAGAGAAGTTATTCAGTTCTTCCACTATTCAGTTAGGATCACAAGGCCTGGCTCCCAGCACTACTTCCCCCTGCCAGGCAGCCCTTTTCAATGCAGCAACACTCTTGAGCTGAGCCAACAAACAAACAATCAAACAAACAACAAAACATTCACACAATCTAACAAACCAACCAACTGAAGCAACACCCACCCAACAGAAGAAGAAGCCACTCTAGTGGTAGCATTGGCTCAGTTGCCTGTTGCTCCTCCACCACCTCCACTCCACAGACACTAAAATAAATGTATGTAGAAATGAACAGAAGGGAAAGCAAAGTAGTGGAGGAGAGGTTGCCCTCTTTCATGAGAGGAAAACAGAGAAAGTGATTGAATATGGGTGGGGTTTTTGTATGCATTGGGGGCACATGCAAGAGAGAGCTCCAGAGCTGAAGAGGGGATGGATGCAAAGAGATGGCTAGTTAGAGCAAGAGAAAGCAAAGCATGGGGGGTCACACATATTGAATCTAGAGAGTGGCAGCTGCAGCCCATGCCCCAGAATGGGACAATTTGAAGGGATGGAAGTGTGGGACACCACACCCTATGTCTCATCCATGAGGATGGTGGTGGGAGTCAAACATGTTCTCATGCCTTGCATATATATATATATATATATATACTCACAAGTGGATGAATGTGTAGATGAATAGTTTTTATTTGTTATTTATTTATTTATTTATTACTATTATTATGAATTTTAATCCCTGTATTTTTTATTTATTTGTATTTTCTATGGGTGTCTAGTCCACTTATAGG